AACCCATAACTCTAGTCTAATTATGAGAGAAACATCAAACAAACCCAGGGTGGGGGACATTGTACCCCAGTACACCCCAAGACTGCCAAGCTCATGGAAAAATAATAGAAACCGTCAGGGATCAAGAAGGCTGGGGAGATGTGACTACTAAATGCAATTTGATTCCCTGGTTTGGAGGGCACAAAGAACACAAAAAAGAAGACATTAATGGGAGAAGTGGTAAAATCCAAATAAAGTCGGGAGTTTTATTAATAGTATGGGTTAGACATCTCTACACCTTTTTTCTTTGCGTTACTGGAGATGGAACCCGGGGTCCTCTGCATGCTAAGAAACTGCTCTATCACTGAGCTGCAACCCCAGCCTAGGTTAAGCATCTCTGATCTGAGAATCTGATTGTTCCAGAATCTGAAACTTTTTGAGCACCAACATGACACTTGTAAAGTTTTGGATCAGCCAGGCGCAGTAGAACACGCCTATGATCCCAGCAACTCAGGAGACTGAGGCAGGAGGATTGCAAATTCAAAGCCAACCTCAGCAAATCAGAGGGTCCTAAGCAATTTAGCAGGATCTGTCTCAAAATAAAAAAAGATGAGGATGTGGCTCATGGTTAAGTACTGCTGGGTTCAGGGTTCAGTCACCAGTACCAAAAAATAAAATAAAATAGGACCTTAGCATTTTGTATTTTAGATTTTTCAGATTAGATCTACTCAACCTGGAAATTCTATGCAAATATTCCAAAATCAGAAAAACTAAAATCTAGAATATTTCTGATTCCCAGCATTTTAGAAAGGGGATACTCAACCTGTACTACACCAAACATCAGCTTCTTAGTTTTCATAAATGTACTATGTAACATTCTATGGAATGTTAGTACATTTAACAAAGGGAGAAATTCAGTGAGTATAGGGGAACTCACTGTTCTACTTTTGTACCTTTTCTATAAAGCTAAAATTATTACAAAATAAAAAGTTTACTTAAGGCCTGGGCATATAGCTCAGCAGTACAAGGCCGTGGGTTCCATCACCAGCACCACCAAACAACAACAAAAAAGTTCACTTAAAGTAATTTTAAAAGCAGATCTTTCTGTAAGTGTGAGAAATCCTAGCACCTGCCCCCTGACTTACTGCAGGAAGCTGCACACTCTAAGTAGCACTCACAGTCCAGCAGTCATATTTGTACCATGCATCCTTACCCCATTCTTCTCCAACCCTCCTCCCACCCACACACACAGCTGATGGGAACATGATCACACCAGAAAACCTGTAAGATGAAAGGATAACATGAAGGGAGAAACAGATAGAATCCACATCCACAGCCTAATAACTTCCCAGTCACAGGTTAAGTCTCACAATAAAACCC